GTTAGATATTTGTTCGACCCCACCAGGGGTCCCGAGACCACATCGTTCCAATTATTTGATCCACTAGGGAATACAGATGATTGTGTGATGGGGTGTGCCAACCCTGCACTGGGCCAACAGGGACTCCCCCTGCTGACAAACAGGGCCCCCATCACACTTCTGATATTGGATAGAGGGGATATATTCTGGTCCTATGGCTGTTATAATTGTGAATGGGGGATAAATCTGCACATTTTAAGATGGAAAGGAGATGAAGGCAAGGAGGGCCACTTTCACCAATTTTATAATATACTATCCTTGAACCCCAGATCCAAACACCAAGACAATGGCCATGTCTACACTAATGAACTTACAGCGACACAGCTGTACCAACGCAGCTGCACCCCATAGGATGGCTTGTGTAGACGCTCTATGCTGACGGAAGAGAGCTCTCCCATCGACATAATAAAACCACCTCAATGAGAGGAGGTAGCTATGTCAGCATGAGAAGCTCTCTCACCGACAGTGCTGTGCACATAAGTTTTGCCGGCATAAGTGCTCATGTCATTCAGAGGGTGTTTTTTTCACAACCCTGAGCGACATACATTTTGATGACATAAGTGATAGTGTAGACATGGCCTAAGGCTCTAATTCAGGAAGGTACTTAGGCACATACATAGTCCTGTTGAAATCAGTAAGACTGCTCACATTCTGAAAGTTAAGCACATACTTAATTACTTTCCTGAACTGGGATTTTAATGAAGGCATCAAGGGTAACCAATTTGCCAAAGTTCCTTTTTTGCTTTTGTTCTCCATAGAGATGCTACGCCCTCCTGTAACAAGCAGGCTTAATTCCATTTTTTTTTCTGAGGAATTGGGGCAAAACGTCTCTGGATTTAAAGTAAAGACAAACAAATCCTCGGTAAGAAGTGGGAAAAGGTATAGAAAGCACTGCCCTTTGGGTACATCTACACAGCAGGTGGGAGAGAGAGTCCCAGCTTGGGTAGAAATAAATGCAGTAGATCTGCTCGAACTCACGCCTACAAATAGCAGCATGGGCAGCGATCTGGGTTAGTTGCCCAAGTCCATACGCAGGGGTTGGGTGGGATTGAATTTGGGCAGCTAACCTGATCCATCATCCACAACCTGTGCTGCTGCGGCCACATTGCTCTTTTTAAGCACTAGCTTGAGCAGAGCTTCCATGTGAATGTCTACCCAAGCTGGGAATCATCTTCCCAGCGGCTGTGTAGATACATCCTAAGTGTCCCAAAAAAGGCTTTACGGGCCTTATCTGAAGCCCACTGATTTAAGTCTTTCGATTGACTTCAACAGACTTTGGTTTAGGCCCTAAGTACCTAGATACCAGTGTAAGGCTTGAGGTCAAGGACATATATACCACAAACATCTTACTGGAGCAAGTTATGGAGGATTTTTTAAATGGTCCAATCCATTAGGGTAAAATTCACTCCGGTACAAAAGGCAGCACAAAGTTTAGGCCCCACTACATCAGCTCATAAATTCCAGATAAGCTCACAAAATAAAGTGGTGGATAACCCTGTGTTGACCCTTTGTACTATATTCCCTCCTTCATTATCTGGCTTGGAAGAATTAACGTAGTGAAAATGGCTCCCAGCTGGCTTCAACGGGAGTTATGGGCAGTCCACACTTTACGGAATGTTCAGCCCTTGCAAGTTCAAGCCCCTACAGCCTCATGGGACTTCGGTTTGTGATTCCTGCGCTCCTGTGATTTCTTTCCCTGTTCATTTGGAAATAATGATAATAACGATTGGAAATGAACAAAAAATAATGATGAAGCAACCTTTGCTTTGGTCAAGAGCTGCAAGTCTCTAGTAGTTCACAAGACAATGTGCCTGTGATGGTACACCAGCATCGTCTGCGTCCTTCTACGCTTCCCTGTCCTGACTGTTAAATCCACAATGGAATTGTAAAGGAGTCCAACACGTGTCATGAAAATCAGTGCCGTATCCCTTAATGGTCTGCTTTTCTTCATTCAATCATTTTCTCCAATTAGCACCACTTTCTCTAAGCTGGTTTCTACTAGAGATGTACATCCTTAATCACACATTTCTCTGATGGTCCAAGTAATAACCACATTTGGGAAGCTAATCCAGAAAATATATTAATTAGTTAATCTTCATAATCTCCCAGTGAGGGAGGCATGATAATGTTCAGAACCGTCTGAACTTATAACATCTTTGGGATGCATCCTTATGGCTCAGCAAAGAACATCAAAAAATATACTTTGTAGTGTGACACCAGACTGAGATGTGGCATGAATCAGGTGTTTTGGTGTATTTGTTATATTTGAAAAAAATTAATAAAAAATATAAATGAACATAAAAGATGTGGCAAGAATGTTTGTCCCCCACAGGTCAGACTCTGAATAACGTGCAATAATATCTCAACAGTGGATGCCTCTGTTCTGGAAATACTAGTGCGTCAATAACAGCGATATGATTTTAACCCTTCACAACAGAGTCTGCTTTGCAAAGTAATAAAATCTGCAAATATTTACCATTGGTTTGCTATAGTTCCCAGTACTTCAATAGGGCTATTCATTGTAGTAACCCCTACACCGAGTGTTTGCAAAACCGAGCTTTAAATCAATTACAGTGATCAAAAAATTAGGAAAAGTCAAAGCAATAGCAATCAAGTGCTGATTGGTGTCTCAATAGCAGTAGTACTAATCAACAAACAGTGAAGGCTGTCCAGACAGCAAGGCGAGTATTTGGGAACGGAAATGCCCACAACATTATAGCTCTGATTTCAGAAACCCCAGAAATCAGACCAAAGACAGAGTAACATCAAAGTAACAATGTGCACAATTTTCACGGGATAGCACCGAGTTATTGCAATGATATTCTGTGTTGTACTTTCCTATAGGAGAATGCAGGAGAAAAATACAAATACGAAAATCTCTGTGCGCAAAACCAAACCAAAACAAAAATCAATAAAACTGAAAAGAAATTCAAGTCCACACAAAAAAATATTGTCTGTAATTATTTAACTTAACAGGTCTTTTATTATTTAGGATTGTTATGCAAACAGCCTATCACTCTTTCAGGTAGAGGTCTCCTATTAATGGAAACAACGAGGAGTCTGGTGGCACCTTAAAGACTAACAGATTTATTTGGACCAGGGCCGGCTCCAGGCACCAGCCGACCAAGCACGTGCTTGGGGCGGCACCTGGTAAGGGGTGGCCAATCTTAGGGTGGCGGCGGCGGGGGGGGCGCTCAGGGTTTTTTTGGAGGGTTTTTTGGTTCGGTCGGGCGGCGCTGGGGTGGGTTGTTTTTGTTTTAGGAGCTGGGCGCGCGGGAGGCACTGGGGGGGAATTCGGCAGCGGCGCTCTGCGGGGGGGGTGGCGGCGCGCGGGGGCGCTCTGGGGGGGGTGTTCGGCGCTCCGCGGGGGTTGGGGGATTCGGTGGCGCAGTGCTCCGCGGGGGGCTGGGGGTGTTCGGCGGCACAGCGCTCCATGGGGGGGGGTGGCGGTGCTGAGGGTGTGTGTTATGGCGGCGCTATAGCGGGCGGCACTCTTTTTTTTTTGCTTGGGGCGGCAAAAAAGTTAGAGCCGGCCCTGATTTGGGCATAAGCTTTCGTGGGTAAAAACCTCACTTCTTCAGATGCATCCTATTAATGGGTGTAGTCCACCTTCGATGGGCGAATGGAACAATATGCAGAGTGCTTCATCTACATAGTTGTACTGTATAGAATTATCAATAGAGAGTTACAGTTGACAAAGTGAGGGAAGTGTTGACCAGCCTATAAGGTCACATGTATTCACTTCTCACATAGAACAATGAAGTCTTTCAAAAGCCCTATGAGTTAAGTATTCACATAACTATTTTCTGATGTGTAAATTTAATTACTGAGCAGTTTAGTGACTTGCACTACAGCAAGTCAATGGCTGGGACTGTAACCCAAGAATACTGATGCCCATTCCTCTGCTCTCCCAACTAGAGAACTCTCGCCCCAATCACGGGATATAGTGTACATTAAAATGGTCTGTCTGCTACCTGCCGGCCACTGAAACAGCAACCGTTTCAACCCTCCAAACGTGCATAATATGTGGACATGCAAATGTGTACTCCAGAAAAACAAAAACACAGGCTCATTACATTCAAGCTGTCCATAAACATTAGTATTATTGTCCTGATATACTGCTCCTAACAAGCACTTTGGTGTTAATTCTTGATTAAAAATGGGGTTTTAAAAATTACAATAAAGATTAAAGAGTCACGTTTTTTATAATTCCTATAGACAAAGGACCAGATTCTCAGCTGGTGTAAACTATCACTCCACCGAAGTCAATGGAGCAATGACATTTTACGCCAGCTGAGGATCTGCCCCGAGGTGTATCAATCTACATATAAGACACCCTATGTCAAACCTAATAGAGAGCCTAGAGGAAGGGATTTTTATATCTTCTAGATCCTCAGAACAAAATCCTTCAGCAAGCCCGTGAAGTGTACTCCAGTGATCTCCAGCTTTGCTGTTGTTGTGACACATTCACTATTTCTTATTTTGAAAACTGTCAATCAATATTTCACATTTCTAATGTTGCCTAGTGAAGGGATTGCTCACTCATCTCACACAGACATAATAGACATGATACCAGCTAAAGGAGGAAAGAGAAACCAACACCATTGCTATATATCAAAACTTTCATTTAGAACCACAGCTTTGAATGTATTAGATACCTTTCTAAGGGCCAGATTCTAGCACCCTCACTCATGCTAGGTAGTACCTTATTTTGTGGGGCGTCCCATGGAAACTGATGGGACTCCTTGTCTAGTAAAGAGTTACTCAACATGAGCAAAGGTCATCCAGATCTGGCCCTAAAAGAAGGATATACATGCATAAATGAAAAGTGGATGAAGAGTAGACCCGCAGAGTAAATATCTGACAGTGTATGTGCACACATTACACACATTGCATGCACACACACATTTTTATTATTCAATTTTCTTCTTAATACGAGTTATAACAGAAGAAGACAATACCTCGTTCTTGAGCTCTGTATAGTGCATTCCCTCCACAGATCCAATATTCCTCTTTATGTCAATGTCTGGATCAAAGCAATCTTTCAGCAAGCATAAATCCACAGCATGTTCTGTGTTGCTTAAGTGTTCCAAGTTTTAGAATTCAGGGGGAGGGGGTTTGTTTATAAAAATGATCACTCTCTCCTCCCCTTTCTGACTTCTTAGGCTAATAGCTCTGCATGTTGCAGTATTTGTTCTCTCTCTCTCTCTCTGATGTGGTGCTGCTGTAGCAAATAGATCTTATCACATGAAACTATCATTTTCTAGAGCATCCAACCCCCTTGGTTCTTCCCCAATCAGCTTGCTATGACATCTTTAGAGAAAAAAATAATCCTGCTAGGGTACTTATGAATGAATGAGGAGGAGTGTGACTCAAAGATTTGTAGGAGCAGATAGAACTAGATAGAACAACAACAAAAAATCACATGCAGGGAATGATAAAGTCCCTCCTGTGTAAATCAGAGACCATAATAATAATCCTGTGCATTGTCTGTGCCACAAAAATTAAGAATGCTTTTAAAGTTTAAGGATTAGAAGCAAGTAATGCTTACCCTATTGGCAGGAAAACATCCTAAATAGTAAAAGGCTTTTTATTGTCGTTATTATTAATAGAAACATCTCTTGCTATTCTGTTTCACTGATGTTTTCCCCCTCCACTGGTTGGCAAAACTGTATAGAGCTTTAAAATTCAGGGTTTGACCCTCTGCTTGTGTAAACTAATGGAGCAATGACTATTTACAGCAGTGAGGATCTGGCCCTCAGAAACCACTAAAGAACATTTTTAAATTAAGTATCTGTGAAAGAAATGGAAAGTCATGAAATCTCAGAGTCAACCCCAACCTTTCATCAGAATAGAGACAGATTTTTCAGGAGTCTGCATGGCCTGTCCTGCAGAATTACTTTGCTTTAGCTAGGGTAGGTTCACGTCTAACAGCAGGTTAGGGAGGGCTCTTGCAAGATGAATCTGACCCCACCTATGGGAAGGATAATGACCACAAGAAATATTTTTATATGCTCTCTAACCTTGGACTAATTCTGTCTCTCAGCCAGACGCTAAAAATGAGGAGACTTCAGAAGTTACCGAGAGATTTTCATAAAATACAAACTCAATGTGTTGACTTTACACTGCAGACTAATTTTTCTATTTCTATTTAATACAGGCTTTTTCCCTTTCTTCCCTTGTTTTAAAAAGAAAATGTGAATTTCATTAGCCCCTTGCTCTTCTGACCTGAAGTGGAAAAGGCTCCATCATATAGGTAGAAACATATAAAAATTGGAAGAGTAAAGGGAAGAGAGAAGCTGGCAACTGATGTTCTGAAATTAGGACAGCTGCCTTTCTTAGCCTGAGGCAGAGAGGGATAGTAGATTTCCACTCTGGCTGTTATTTCTCGATGGTTAAATAAGCAGAGAAGAAGAAAAGGGGCATGTTTAAGACAACAATCAGAAAAACAAGACAACTAGGAAAGCATGCCCTGAGGGGGTCATATACCTTACAGGGCAGTAAAGACTTACCACTAACGTAATGCTTTTCAGCTGTATAATTCAAACTGTTTTACAGAAGAGGAAATCATTATCCTTATTTTTTTTTTAGAAAAAATTAAAGAAACTGAGGCAGTAGCATAGCTGCGGGGGAGCGGGGCAGCGGCCGCTCCCCCACTGAGCATCTTAGCGCCTTTTTAATTTTTACTGACCCGGCACAGAGGGGGAAAGGCCAACCTTTTCAAAAGAAGCTGTTAATTCGGAGTGTTGTTTGCGGTCAGGTGGCCAGCTTGAGACACCCTAGGGCCTGACATCGCAACTCCATGTTTCAGAGGTGCTCTGGGTGTTGAAGCTCCTCACGCTTCATAATTAGTCATCTCATGAACCCAAATCAACCAGGAGTCAGAAGTTAAAGCGCTCAAGAAACTGGCTGCCCTCCAGTTGGCTCACCCTGAAAACAGACATCACACGGCAAGCACCTCTCCCACATATACACTTGGCGAAAGAGAGCCAGACAAGATGTCCTTAAGGAAAGAGTATTCCAAAGGACGATGAGGGGAAGAGTCAGGACTGGGGTAAGGCCTAGAACAGTGGTAGGAGGAGAAGAGGTGGAAAGGGTCAGTAGGATTGACAGCAGCAGTTTGAGACAGTGGAAACTAACAAGAGCATAGGTCTGCTCTATGCACAGCAGAGACACAATGTAATAGACGCAAATTTGGTCCACACCAATGTCTGCGTCCCACCAAACTATCCCTCAGGTTATTCAGGATTGTCGTTCCTCATTCAGAATAGTGCAAGTCCCGGCTGATGGTGTTATATCAGTGAAGAGGTAGACATTGACACTGGTATACCTTTAGTCCTCCCACTACAATCCCATTGCACCACTGTCTTTGGCAGCGACCCATCTGGTAAACTATTTTATCTCCACCGCCCAGGGATCAGAGTCGCCGTAACTTTTAAAGGGCTGGTGCTGGCTTTACAACCACTGCTGCAGGTGCAGCATTACGAGCAAGCCAGCCCCCAAAAGATCAGCACTTCTTACCAACAGCAAGATCATGCCTTGGGTTTCTGATCAGACTGAGGCTTCAGCATGAGCCAGAAAACTCTGCACCGTCTCTCCAGCTGCCACCTCACATGTTTGAACTGGGCAGGAATATGCCTCCCATGGATGTGGGCAGAAGTGGTCTCTCTCTTCATTCCATTCATACCACTCACACTGGTACTAACTCCATCCACCATTTCACCTTCCAGCCCCAATAAGGGCTTTCCCATTCTCCACCGCTCCCAAACCACCTGCCAACTCCTTGAGTCGCAAGAGGCCCAAGGCCCACCAAATTCTATTTTAAACACTTTGCAATTGCCCAGGTAACCCATTCCCCTACCCCAATATGGCCAAAAAGTGAGGTGCGGGGATATTGGTAGTTTCTAAACAAAGGAACTTTCTTCCACTGCAAAATGCAGGTGTTTTTAATTGCTAAAGCAAAAGACAGGGATGGCCACACTTTCACCTCACTTATACAATACATCACAGCACATAGACTTTTTTTTAAGAATGCAACTAAATCCATTCACGAAATATAGCAAAGACTGTTAATTGCTTCAAGAGCCCCAACGCCGCGCTGCTCCAACCCCCGCCCCTCCTCCGAGTGCCAGCCCCCGGCCCCCCCAGCGCCGCACCGCACCAGCCCCCGGCCAATAAATAAATTAATAAAAACCTGAGCGCCGCCCCGCCCAAGGTGCCGCCCCAAGCACGTGCTTGGTCGGCTGGTGCCTGGAGCCGGCCCTGCTGTCCTGGGAAGCAGTGACTCTGAAAAAAGATATAAGGGTTGTGGTGGATATTCAGCTGAACATGAGCTCCCAGTGTGATGCTGTGGCCAAAAGAGCTAATGCAATTCTGGGATGCATAAATGGGGGAAACTCGAGGAGGAGTAGAGAGGTTATTTTTCTTCTGCATTTGGCACTGGTGAGACCACTTCTGGTGTTCACAATTCAAGAAGGAGGTTGATAAATTGGAGAGGGTTCAGAGAGGAGACATGAGAATGATTAAAAAACATACTTTATAGTGATAGACTCAAGAAGTTCAGTCTTTTTAGCTTAAAAAGAGAAGGTTAGGGGGTGGCTTGATTATGTGTTTTTATATTCAGATAATCCACTTGTCTTAATAATAATTCATTGCTAGTCACTTAATCTTTATTAGATAGATATGGTATGGTATGCATCCGAAGAAGTGGGCTGTAGTCCACGAAAGCTTATGCTCTAATAAATTTGTTAGTCTCTAAGGTGCCACAAGTACTCCTGTTCTTTTTGTGGATACAGACTAACACGGCTGCTACTCTGAAACCTGCCATTAGATAGATAGTTAACATATACACGTAAGCAGAGTCAGGATGAGCTCTACCCTGACATCTGGTGGTGAATTATGGCGAGTGTGGAAAAGAACTCCAGGGGCTGATCTTGTTTGCATAGGCACACCCACTCGCCTGGCATGAAACCACAGCAACTCAAAGTGGTTACTTTGGCTGGTGTGGGATCCCCAGTTTCTCTGTTATTGGGGCAGGAAGAATAAAGTTTTGTTACCCTGATTTTGTGAATCAAGGCCAGTGGAACTGTTGTATGACAGAAGGACTGAGTGAGTCATTCACCATTACCTAAGTAGCATTTGCTTGTCAAGGGGCATGGGTTATAAAACCCAGTGAATTGAGAGAGGATGGGGACAGGTATTTGTACCTGATGGTTTGGCCCCCTCCCTGAGGGGGTTGAAACACCAATTGCACTACCTCCTCTCTCCACTGTTGAATGTCAGAGCTAACTTTGATTCCCTTAGGAGTCTAGTTACAGACTGCTGAGCTGAGTTCACTTTGGGCCAATAGTGCACCTGCACTGGGGCTCCCCT